GGTCTCTGGGCGCGGGAAAATGAATTTCCACCGGGCCGGGCGGCCTCTTCTCCCACCTTGTCGCCCGGGATCCTGCTCAGCCTCCCGCCCCTCCGGGTTCCACTCGAATCGAGTCACACTAGCGGAGGCGAAGGAGCTCGGGTCGCCTCCATGTCTGAGGCTTATTACCGGGTGGAGTCGGGCGCGCTGGGACTTGAGGAGAACTTTCTCTCCTTGGACGACATTTTGATGTCCCACGAGAAGCTGCCAGTCCGCACGGAGACTCCCCTGCCGCGCCTGGGCACCTTCTTCCCGGAGTGGGGCGCCGGATCCGGGCCGGACCACGCGCTGCCGCAGGGTTCAAAGCTTGAACTCCCCTTGTGGCTGGTAAAAGGACTTTTTGACAACAAGAGACGCATCCTTTCTGTGGAACTTCCTAAGATCTACCAAGAGGGTTGGAGGACTGTGTTCAGTGCAGATGCCAATGTGGTGGACCTCCACAAAATGGGACCCCATTTCTATGGGTATGGCTCCCAGCTCCTCCATTTTGACAGTCCGGATGCGCTGCCGCAGGTGGGCACCGGCCTCGCGGGTTTGGGGTTCGGGGGACGGCGCCCCACAGGCTGTGACTTCGTCGGGCTCCCTCCAACACAGGTTTCTTTGCTGGAACCGCGAGTTGGTCAGCGTCTTACCCCTTCACGAATTGAGGTGGGGGCTGATTCAGCCGAATACTTCAGGATCGGGGTTCTCCTCGCGTTTGTCTTAAAACAAGCCTTGAGTTCAGTCAGCCCGCGCGTTAGCGCTGGAAACTGCAAATTGCCATCCGTATTCGTTCCGGCACACCCATGAAAATAGTGCCAGGACGGATGGTTTGAGGGCAAAAAGTTTTTGCGTCTTTTACCCCCTTGAGTCCTTCCACAGCACTGTAAATAGGTATTGTAAACCTATCGGGAAGTTTGGGTGCCGAGGCCAGCGTCCCATGGTAAATGGTGAGCTGGGATTCGAACCTAGGGCCCTGTGGCTTCAAGTTTGCCCCAGGACTATGGCGTTGATTTGATCCTTGATTAACTAGCTTAAGTAGTTTGTGTTACAGTTTCTCCACCATAAAATTAGTCTTTTTTATGACTTTTCATATTGTCCACATTGGAAAGAGGTCAGGAACTGCCACAGTGGAGTAGGAAGTCATGCTCTGCATCTTGGAGGTTAAAGTGTCTACATGAATATTTGGAATAATTCTGCATAGGAAATTTTTATTTTCTTTTAAATTTTTCTTCCATTTTTATGTTTACAGTACATAATTATATTCATCATGGGGAGTTGGTACATGTACATGACACATCTTAATTCTTTTTCATCTTCTTTCACTCTTCCTTCATCCCTTTGGTCCCACTTCCTTTTGCAAAAGTGCATAGGAAAGTGCTTATGACATTTAATTTCATTCTTAGATATACAAGCATTTGTATTTTCTAGTCTCAAGTTTTAGTATATGAGGGGTTTCTAGAAAGATGACCATTTTAACAACGTTTTCAAGTGTATAAGTATAACGTTGCTCAAAATATCCCTTTATTATCTTTTCGATGTAGTGTTATACTAGTATCCTGATTCTTATTCTTGACATTGGTAAATTCTGCTTTCTTGATTAATTTTGCTAAAGTTTGTCAATTTTATTGGTTTCTTAAAAGAACTAATTTAGAGCTCTGTCCATATTCTCTCTTTTATCTTTGTTTTTTTAAGTCATTAAGCTCTTCATTAATTGGTTCATTCTACATTCTTTGGACTTAAAACACTCTGTTGTGTTTCCTCCCTCACATTTTTAAGCTTATAGAGTTTTCAGCCTTCCTTTACACATTTAAATACAACTTTAATTGCATTTTGTGAGTTTTGATTTGTAATATTTTTCATTTTCAGTGAACTAAATATTTTGGTTGTTATTCAGAGGACTGGTGCTTCATTCCATGCATTTTAAAACTTGCTATTTACCTTTTTTGTTCTTGATTCTAGTTTAATCCCACTGTGGCCATAAAATAGTCTAAATGATTTCAGTGTTTTGAAAGTAGGTAAAACTTTATGCCTTGGTGTAAGATCAATTTAATTATCCTGTATGCACTTGGAAAAGATGAGTTTTGTGGAGTCGTGGTATGCAATAAAGTATGTAAATACATGTAAGTTGAGTATGTAAATACATGTAATTCGGGTCAAGCTTATCTTTGTTTTGTTGAGATTTTGTGTGTTCTTACTGATTTTTTTTGTGTGTGTTTATGTGGCTACTTTCCACTTAAAGTATTCAACTATGATATAGATTTGTCTGTTTCTCCTTTTACTTTTGTCAGTATAGTGACACATTTATATTTTCCTGATAGTTCCTGTCTTACTGCCAAATGTCCCTCTTCGTGTCTGGTGATGATACTTCTTCCTTTTGACTAGTGTTCGCATGATACTTTTTCTATCATATTTTTCATGTTTCTATGTCTTTAAGGTATGTTTCTTTTATGCAGCATATAGTTGGGTTTTGCTTTTCAGTTTGACAGTATTTAATCTACTTACATTTAATTATTGATATACTTATATTTATTTGCTTTGTGTCCCATCTGTTTCAGGTTCCTTTTGTTTTTTTCTTTCTTGATGCCTTTTGGATTAATCAAGTTTATTATCTACTTAGTATTTCATTTACTTGGTTACATATTCTTTTATTATTTTAGTGACTACTTTAATGATTACATAATAATTTTTTATTAATAATAATGTTATCCAAGTTACTTCACAGACAATATTAGAATTGTGGTACACTTTACCTCTGTTTTCTCCTACCTGCATTATTTTCATGTGATCTAATTTAATTCATCTAATACCCTATAAAACATTATTATTCGATTTGCCCACTTATTTATTCTTTGCATTACCCTCTTCTCTTTCTGCATTTTCATATTGGTTAGGTTACCCCTGCCAACTCAAAACTAATACTGATGTTTTCAAAATATTGAAATATATGAGTCTTATGATAAAACTGAAGTTACCCACAAAACATGGTTTACAAAAAGTTAAAGTTAGAATATACTGTGGTTCTTTGGTTTATTTTCAGTGCTTATTTATCTGTAATATGTCAAAATTGGTTACATCCATTCTTGGTAGACTCGGGCTTCAGGTTGCACTAACTCTTTACAGCACTAACAATATATGTACATCTCCTTATGTTGATTGGCTCACATGGAGAATTCCAAACACTACCTGAACAATCTCATAATTATGGCAGTGCCTCCTTACTTTTCTTAAGATATTATGGAAATTTGTAAAAGTATATTCTATTTCTTAAAAAAAAAAAAACTGGAAGCAATGGCAGTTTTATAGAAACAGACCATAGTAAAACTTGGAGTGCTTAAACCAGAATTTAAGGTAAAGCAAGTTTTCAGAGTGATAATTGATTTTGATTTACTATGTAATTAATAGAACATATTTTTTAATGGAACTAGATAAACTGAGGAAGTAGATTTTGTATAGATATTTTTCTCATCAATACAAATGTCACCTGTTTTTTAGAAGAAACATTAAAGATAGCTCAGTGAATATGATAAACTTAGTAGGTCTGTGTTTTGGCTTAATACAAAATGTTTTTAAATTTAAATGTGATTCCCATAGAGCAATAACATTCTCATCTCTGAACTATCTATTACTTGCATTATGGGTGCCAACAAACCATTGCATTATCTAGAATATAATCATTATTGTGCCTTTAAAAAGTGCACTGTGAAATGTTGGTTTTTATGTAAACCTCATAATTTAAGAAGGTCAGATCTCTGCCATTTATCTTGGTATGTTTCTGAAGACATTGTACTCCTTCTGTTAACTCTACACACTTTTGTTCTTGAATCTCCAATGCAGTGATAGCTAAGGCCAATACAGAAGGCTTTGCTTTAGAAAATATGATCCTGCAGAGACATGCCTTAAACCGAGCTTCTAGTCTTTCAAAATTTAGGCTAATTTTCCTTTCAAATGGCAAGTCTCTTGAATGAGTGAATAATAGATTTGTAGAAATTGAAAAGCAGTGGTAGCTTTGACTTTCCAACACACCTTCTCCAATACGATGTTTTCCATTCGCATCAAGTCTGAAACCATGAATTTATACTGACTTACTCGGATCAAATCAGTTGCCAATGGGACATTTCTTTCCTCTTCTATTGATTTTACAGCCAAATAAAAGCAGCTCGGTCCAACACACCCAAGGTGCTTGGGCTGTACCTTCATTTTAAGACAGAAATCTGCCCAGTAAATTCACAGCTAGAGAAAATGTCTCCATATCAAAGGCAAAGAACTGAGTTAGACTAAGATCTTTTACTTCAAAGTCCCTCAGTCTTGCAGTCATTCTAAGGCCATTATCATGTGCAGATTCAATTAGTCTCAAGCTGAACACCTTTGGCTGACATCTAGCCTCCTATTCCAGCAGGGTATTCAGCTGGTATAGCAATTTCTGGGAGTCAGTTGTCAGGACTTTTGCCATCTTGGTAGAGATTGTAGCTCCTCGGTGTGATTACCCGCCCTAGGCCTGCTCTCACCTCATCCCACAGTATCTGATACAAGAAGCCTAGAAGGCGAGGACACTTGAGGGCAGGAGGGGAGAGGCCCAGGGAAGGATAACTGTCTTGGGTGGAGGTCTCCCCAGTGCTGCCGAGACTACACGGCCCCTCGGTCAGACCACTGCAAACTCATTTCATTTTTCCTTCAGGACTTCCTAAGGAAATTTATCTGGTGATAAAGTCTCAATTTCTGTCTCTGACATGGGGTCCCCAAGACCACTCATAATAGATAATTCACTAAGAGGACTTTTGTGGGACTCATGGTTAGGATTTATTATAGCAATAGGATACAAAGCAGAACCAGCAAAGGGAAAAGATACCTTGGAGAAAGTCTGGAGACCACGCACATAGCATAAGCCTCCTTGGGTCTAGCAGGGAAGCTTGCTAAAGACTCAATACCCCAAGTTTTACTGGGGAAATACTCTCTGCCCAGTACATAAAAGCAAGTATTCATGTACACCACATTGTTTCTACGTTCAGTTTAGGCACAGTGAAATGCTTTTATCACTTTTGGGACTGGTAGGAACCCTTCTGAAATCCGAGTTTCCATGTGCCAACTGAGGCTGCTTTTTCTCAGAAAATGCCTTTATTTCACCTCTTTTTTTAATCCAAAATGTTTATTGGGATCCCCCCCCCGTTGATTGAGAGTGCTATTAGTGCCGCTTCCTCCCCTCTGTAAGCCTTGCTTTTCCTCCTGTGGGTTGGGAGAGGACAGTGGGGCAGCCAATACACAAAACCCCTATTTGTGCACAGCTAACAACATAGTGAAAAGTGGGTATTTCACATCCATGAAGTAGGAACTGGGGCTCTGCACCAATTACTTCTTGTTTCCTCTTCTGGAGAGGGGTGTCTTCTTTGCAAGAGATGTGTTCTCATGGGGAGGGCATCACTATTGGAAAGTTCACCTTTTTTTTTTTTCTTTGAGTCAGGATCTTGCTATATAGTTCAGACTGGCCTTGAACTTGCTATGAGCTCAGAGTTGGCCTCAAACTCAACAGCCATCCTTCTTCCTCAGCCTCCCAAGTGTTGGAATTACAGATGTGTACTACCATGCCCGGCTCACTTTTTTATATATTTTATATGTGAGTTAAAAAACAATTTAATAAATATAAATAAAACTTTCAGCCCACACAGTTCATTTCTTTTTTTCCAGTACTGTGGATCAAACTTGGGATCTTGCACTTGTGAGGCAGGCACTGAGCTAAATCCCCAGCCCTACAGTTTATTTCTTTAGATCACAACCAGGTCTTCTGCAGTTGAGAGTTATACTCCCAAAGAGAAGAGAAAGTATCAATCAGGTTATATGTATTTTGTCACATACATTTTGTCACATACATTTACTGTGTATTTATTTGTCTGTTTTTTGAATCTACATTCTTGTCTGATGCAGGGTTCAAAGCTTGAACTCCCCTTGTGGCTGGTAAAAGGACTTTTTGACAACAAGAGACGCATCCTTTCTGTGGAACTTCCTAAGATCTACCAAGAGGGTTGGAGGACTGTGTTCAGTGCAGATGCCAATGTGGTGGACCTCCACAAAATGGGACCCCATTTCTATGGGTATGGCTCCCAGCTCCTCCATTTTGACAGTCCGGAGAATGCAGATATATCCCAGTCTCTGCTGCGGGTAAGTATTGTAATTGGTATGAAAACCTGCAGTCTTGCATCTGTCTTTAGAGACAGCTGTGGCAGCCACCAGATATCAGTTTTACCCAGGGAAAGGTATGGTGATAAACAGTTCATTATTATTCCAGATTAGCCTACAATTATAATGTGTCTGCCAATATAAAAAAATTTTTTTAAATTACATTTATTTTTTAGCTGATACCTAAAAACAAACATTATATATATTATTGGGTACCTACCATGTGATGTTTCAGTACATATATACATTGCATAATGTTTAAATCAAGTTAAACATGACTATCATTTCTTTATGGTAAAAATTTTCAAACTAGCTTTTTGAAATATATAGTTTATTATTGTTAGCTGTAGTCACCTTACTTGCAATAACACTCCAAACTTTCTTGCCTCTAACTACTATATATTTTTTAAAATGCAACTTGTCTGTTGCTCTTCATATTTGCTTGCTAAAAATTGGGATCAGTGGGAAAAGAGAAAAAAGTGATGGTGATTACAGGTTACAGACACTTAGATTCAAAGTCCCTTCCCATCATCATAGGACTGTTCTAAGGGTTCCTGTTGGAAATACTTGAATTATTTGGTTCTTTGTTCTATTTTTCTGGAGTTAAGACATGGCTCTGCATGAACTAGTTGTTTGATTTGGTCAAACTACATGTGCCTCTCTAGGCATAAGTTCTTTACGTGTAACATAGAGCTAATAATAGCACCAAAATTACTGAGTTGCAGTGAAAACCACATAGTTCTACTTAATACATTTAATAAGCAATAATTATTTTTTGTGGACAAAACAGTGTTAACTTTATTTTGACCCTATGCATTATTTTTTATTCTGTTTATATTAAGAAAAACCACCTTTCTGCCTCTTTGGACATAAACAGCCAAAAGGCTTTACTTCTGCATTCTTAGTTTTAAAAGACCCCTGTGCTAAATTGACATCCTCCTTCAGGTTTGAGCGTTTTTGGCCTACCATGTACTAGTGCTGCCTTTGATGTAGGTAATAAAAAAAATGTTGCTGTCCATCCAGAAAAAGAAAATCCATAGACTATAGACATAGATTATAAGCTTGAATTCAAGCTTTTATGAAGCTCTTTGGCACAGACAGATAAGGAAAATCCATTTGTCTTCTTATGTTCCAGAACATGTTCTTCAATTAGAGTCTTATGTTTTTTAGTGAGCTATATGTTTTCTTTTTCTTTCTTTGCTTTCAAGTTCTTCAGAGTTGGTTATCGATACAGTGACTTTCCCACAAGATAGTGGAAGAAACAAGCAAGGGCTTATGGTTTGTGCTCAGAGCCCAGTGGTAAAATAGCTCCTGGAGATCTCATGTGTCTTCATCCTGCTCACAAACTGAGAAAAATAGAGACTGCATTCAGTTAAATCAGGAATCTGTTCTGGTTGAAACTGTTACCCTGGGACCACAGTACATTATTATGGCCTCTGTTACTTGACAGTAATGGTTAACCCTTTTCAATGAGCTTATTATGTGCAAGCCAGATGCTTTACATAACAACCATTGGATTCCGTTTCACAGTCAAGATAACTGAGGCTTGGCAATGTTCAGTAACTTATTTGAGTGGTAGAGGACTTATTTCAGTCCTCCTCCTGAGTCCTCAAACCAAAATTCTTTCAGGCCATTTAAATGTTCCAAGATAAAAATAGATCTGGCTTTATGGGATGTGAGATCAACCCTGACTTCTCTTACTCCCTCTTCAGACATTTATTGGACGTTTTCGCCGCATCATGGACTCTTCTCAGAACACTTACAATGAAGACACTTCAGCCCTGGTAGCTAAGTTGGATGAAATGGAGAGAGGCTTATTTCAAACCGGGCAGAAAGGACTGAATAACTTTCAGTGTTGGGAAAAGGGACAGGCTTCTCAAATCACACCTTCCAACCTTGTTCAGAATTATAAGAAGAGAAAATTCACCGACATGGAGGACTGAAGGCCAGAAAAATATAGAATTGCTCTGGGTGGGGCTTATGCCTCGTGTGTTCTTGATAAGACCTAGTTGACCTTATTGAGGACCAAATTGTGTCACATCTCATCAATTATAACCTGCAGCAGTCTCAGGATTTGGGACCATCTTGTTGGGATGGGATGTCCTGAAGCCTCTGGTCCTCTAATCTTCCAGGACTGTCCTACCCTACTAACCCGCAGCCCAGACCTTTTGACCTAAGAATGCACAGCCAAAGAGAAATGCAAGTCTGTCCTAAATAAGGTCCAATGCCATACATATTTGCAGTTCGGTTGGGGATGGTATTCTTGTATCGGGGACTTTAGACAGCCTCACATGTCCAGTGTCACTAGCTTTGTACTTGGATGGGTACAAATTGGGTCACCTTTGCCTGTTCACAAAATGTTCTCTTGAGCTTTTTGCCTCATCTTCTTCATACTTGAACAAAGACTAGCACCCTCTGATGCTGGACTAACTTAGAAATCTTTCCTGATGTTCACTGTGGGGAGTTACCCTAATTTCCAAAAACAGTCACCAAAAAAAAGTGTGGGGGAGGGAAAGGCAAATGAATGGCATGGCAGGAAAGAGAGGACATTACTTTTGTACTCCATGATCAGGGCATTTTAAACCAGAATCACATCACTGCAGTCAGCCTGGAGGGGACATGGTTAAATTGAGCTTGTGTTTGTCTCTGCAATCTTGAGAGCAACTGCAAACATTCCATTCTGCTGTGGGAAAGCTGTCAGGGACCCACTTGGAATTGCAAAGTAGTTATTAAGGGGTGTTAACCAGCCTTTGTTACATCTGGAAATCAGGACTGGAGCCCTGTTTGAGAAACTTAACATGGTACATGTTAAATGGCTAAAAGGCTTGGTTATATATTTTTTTTCTCAGGAAATTCTGGAACGTTATTACATAGAAGGTCCCCGACCATTTACTGGGAATCTATGTAAGCAAGCACAAAACTCTTTTGAGAAGAACAAGGCGGAAGGAAACCCAGGCTGAGTAAGAAATAGTATTCCTCAAGAGACTGCTGGACTTTCCAGTGGGCAATTTTCTCCACACCATTGCTCCCCTTCCAACACCTTACAACTGACAAAAATTACCTCTGTTGTTGGAAATTATGTTTTCAAATTGTACAGATGTCTTGATGTAAACCTAGAATGACAGAAATGCTTTTAAAATGGAATTGTTTTTACAATTGGATTTTAGTGTTAAATAAATGATCAGCTTTGCCTATTAGTATATTCTGTACCAGTGCTATTTTTGTAACTCTAGTACTGCAGATGATCAGCAAATCTATCAGAATTTTGTCTTTGATTATATTTGACAGTAATGCCCAAATAAATCCATGTTTTAGCAACTGCTCTTTTGTTTGTTCAATACACATAAATATGAGATGCTTTCTTTGTGGGAATGTGCTATGTCTTAGGAAAATGAGACTTATTGTTGCAATATTATGTATAGCTAGAACCGAAGAAACCATTCCTAGAGTAAGAAAAGCATATTTAACTTCTGGCATATTTATTTTCACAGATATCTTTGTATTTAAAAATAATCCAAGGCTGCTGCCCTTTTTTTTTCTCAAAAAATTAATTTTTCTTTAGAGACTATATGTCAAGGAATATGAGGGTGTGCATATATAGAATTTATTATATTTGAAATTTTGAATGCATGTAGTGTCTGAATCCACTTTCAATTACACATTTGCCTGCGATCCTGTCAGACTGTCCCCTTTTATGTCACCCCCCCCAGTAAAGTTTTTCTGGATTACTGTTTGATCCCTTCAAAGAGGTATTTTTCAAAGGCCAACAAATTAACTTAGATACCAACTTGCTGCTAAAATCCAAGGAGTAAATGTGTGCCTTGCCCTCCATTTCCACATAACTATGCAGAAGACCTCACTGCCTGCAGGTTTTCCCTGGGACAATCTGGGCTACAGGGAGTGAGACAAGCTTTGTTCTCCTCCGTGGGATCCTCCTGCACTCCCTGACCTCTAAATTTGGAGCAGCTCCGGGATTAGTCCTTGAATCCCTCTTCCTCTTTCTATTCTTTGTTGTGATGCTACTGATTGCATCCATAGCCTCATGCATGCATGCTAGGCAAGCACTCTACAACTGAGCTACTTACTCAGCCCTTTTTATTTTACTTTATTTTTCCATTAAGTTTATTGGTACATTTTAGGTATAGAATACAGTTGCATTCATCATTAGGATCTTGTACCTTTACATGATGTATCTTTTTTTCTACATGATGTATCTTAATTCTTATTTTTTCCCCATTCCCCTGCCTTTCCTTCACCCCCTCCACCCTTCCCTATTTACAAAAACTTTGTTTCCATGTTTTTCCATTTCTTCTATTTTTTCTTTTCCCTGCTTTCCTTTCCCCTACCCCTCCCATTTCTTCTACTCCTTTAGACATTTCTTCCTACTTCACAATATTAATTATACATTTTGATCCTTATTTACACTTGTGGTTTTTCACACCAGAGAAACTATCCAGTATTTACATGTGTCCTATTTATTTTACTTAAGAGTATGGCCTCATCCACTTAGCTATAAATGTCTCTAGTTTCTCATTCTTTATGGCTGAGTAGTACTCCATTTTATAAAAGTAAAACAAACACAAAAATACCACATCTTTATCTAGTCTCCAATTGATAGGCAATTGGGCTGTTTCCAAGTTTTAGCTATTACAAACTGCCACCATAAACATGAGTGTGCATAGATCACTGTGGTATGATTCTTTTAATTATTTTGGAAAGATACCCAGCAAAGGCATAGCTGGGTCAAATGGGACTTCCAATCCTAGTTGTCTGAGATATCTCCATATTGATTTCTACAGTGACTGCACCAGTCTGCACTCCCACCAACAATGAAGAAGGGTTCCTTTCTCCCTACAACCTGACCAGCATTTGTTATTGGTTGATTTCATGATAGCAGCCATTCGTTCTGGGGTGAGGTGGAATCAGTGTTGTTTTCATCTGCATCTCTCGAATGACGGGTAATGTTGAAAATTTTTTTATGTTTGTTTGCTGCTTTTACTTCTTTTGTCTGAGAAATGTCTATTCATTTTGATGCCCATTTTTTAATCAGGTCTTTATATTGGGGGGGGAATCTGGTTTTTGTTTGTTTTTTTTTTTCTTTTTAGTTCTTTATATATTCTAGATAGTAGATCTTTGTCTGAGGAAAAACTGGTAAAAAATTTTTCACACGTTGTAGGTTGTCTCTTGGCTCTGTTGAATAGACCTAGAATAGCAAAAGCAATTCTAGGCAACAGAGATGTGGCGGGAGGTATCACAATTCCCAAATTAAAGCTATACTACGAAGCTACTGTGATTAAAAAAACAGCATGGTATTGGCAAAGAAACAGACCCGAGGATCAGTGGAATAGATTAGAAGATGCAGAAATAGCTCCAGACATACTCAGCTACTTCATCTTTGACAAAGGAGACAGCCATCCTCACTGAAGGAAAGATAGCCCCTTTAATAAATGGTGTTGGAAAAACTGGATTTTGACTTGACAAAGATTAAAAGATTAAAATTAGACCCCAGTCTTTCACCATGCACTAAACTAAAACTGAAATGGATTAAAGATCTAGATATTATAACAAACACTAAACTTACTGGAAGATAAGTTAGGTAGAACTCTTGACACTGGCATAGGAAAAGACTGTGAACAAATCCTCAGTAGCATGGGAACTAGCACAAAGAATCACCAACTTTTTATTTTATTTTTGAATCAGGGTCTTGCTAAGTTGCCCAGGCTGACCTTGAATTTATGACCCTCCTGTCTGAACCCAGTAGCTGGGGTTCTAGGCAAGTACCACCATGCCCTTTGGATCTCCATATTCTGATGACTCCCAAATTTAGATCTCCAGCTCTGCTCTCCATCCAGCTCCAGGCTTGAATCCAGCCGCCTGCTTAATGCTTCTGCTTCAGCAAGCTCCTCTCTTACCCTTGCTTACCTTTGTGACCTTTCCCATCTTCACTGATGACAACTCCATCTTTCCTTGTGGCTTAGGACAAAATCCTTAGTGCATACCTGTAATCTCAGCATTGGAGGGAGGCTGAGGCAGGAGGTTTACAAGTTCAAATCCCACATGGGCAACCCTAGCAAGACCCTGTGTATAAATTAATAGTATAGTAGATAGATAGGAAGGGATGGGGATATAGATCAGTAATGGAGCACCCCAGAGTTTGATCCTCAGCATCACAAAAATAAATAAAGTTTCACCACCTTCCAAAGAGAATTCTGAACACTTCACAGAGCTTCTCATTAAGTTTTCAGCCCCACTGGACCAGAGAGGTTTTCGGAATGCCATGTCTGAAGTAGCAAACCAGAATGCAGACGTATTGAGCGACTCAAGGTCTCATGGAAGCCACTTCCATGGCTGGGAGTGTGGCTTAGTGGTAGAGTGTTTGCTTAGCATCCTGAGATCTTGGGTTTGATCCCCAGCACTGAAAAAGAAAGTCCCATTCTGAATATTTTTTCTTCAATCATCCTTCAAGAAACCCCAAGCCAGCCCTTTATATGTGAAATAATGGTTTGTAATTGTGCCAACACTGACCATGGCAAAAGAAATTAACTATGTAGAACCCAAATGTATTTTTCTGAAAGTAGATATTTTTATATTCATGAAATAAATTTATGGGACCAGGATCCTGCTTCCCAAGTTCAAGGTTCTTGAATTTTGATCCCCAGTATCAAAAAAAAAAAAATATATATATATATAGATATAGATATAGATATATATCTATATATATATATATGCTTTAAGAAACTCATGGGACAAAATATAGTAGACAGAATTATTCTAAGAACCAAAATTTCAACATTCCTTATCTAATAAACTTAAAGACATTTAAATGCCCTAAACCTAAGGAAGATATCTATCTAAAATTTGGAATTCTGCTGTGGACTCTTGATATTACCCTTTTGAATGAACAGCAGTAAATCTTCCATTATTACTAGTGAATATAATACACAGTGAATCAAAGGAGAGTGTGAGAAAATTGTAGAGTCACCCTCTACTGAGAGCAAATGACTAATACAGGTGACAGGCCCAACCTGCTTTAGTTTCAGCCTATTTCTTGCATTTTTTCCAGAGTTCTGCTTTTCTGCCTAGTTCCTCAAATGAGATAGCCACCAGACATGGTTTGCTTGCCCAGCAACCTTACTCTCCGATAGACACCTCCCTTTTCCTGGTCACGCCGTCCTGTTACCTGCTTTGTGGTCTAGAGAAAGGTGCAGGTGGGAATACCCCACCAGAGTAGAGGTCTCCCATGCCTGCTTTTCCAAGATCATAGTCAAAGCTACCAATGGGGCATCATTTCATCAGCCTAATTATTTGGAAATCATTTTAGATTTATAGAATAGTTGTAAAGATAGGTCAGAGAGTGCTCATATATCTCTTACTCAGCTTTTCCTAACATCTTCCATGATCATGGTACATTTATCAAAGCCAAAAAGCTAACGTTGGTACAATACTAATAAAAGCACAGGCTTTATACAGACTTCTCCAGATTTTTCAGTACCCAATTAAAACCCCACGTTGCACTTAGGGTCAATCATTTTTAAAACCAAACAGCATCAAGGTCTTCACTATATTTTGGAAGTTGAGCTGACTGTAGAGGCTTCATTGCAGTGAGATTGGGGTACCAGGAGCCAACTAAGCTTTTTCAAGATTGCCCAGGAGCAAGCTGCTGGTAAGCTCATCAGAAAGGGAGAGAATATAAGATTTCCACCTGAACTTTTCACTTTTTCCTTAATACTTGGATCTAACAGAAAAGGGGCTTCTGACTCTACTTGAAACTTATAGCTATCTCTCTGATAGCAGTAACTTGATTGTCTCCTTTTTTGGCAGCCTCTAGCTAATTTTCTTTGTGTCTAAATTAGTTTAAAATGAGCACGACTTTATACACCAACATTATTAACAAGTGTCAGCACAGCTCTGAAAATAGTGCCTGGGAACCGGTTGTGTTTCAGAATTCGTAAAGGAGCACAGAACCAGCTCATCTTGCAAACTCCCACTGATGGCTAATTACAAGAAAAAAAACCCATTTCAAACCTGTGTAGTACTTTCTGTTCCCACCTCACCCTTGAGAGGTCTCTTTGATTGCCACATGATTTGCCCATCTGCTTCGTACAACTGAAAATCTTCCTTTTGGACATTTTCTTC